TAATTAATTAATTAATTAATAAATATTTATTAGGCCCAGTCGAACTCCACCTCAGTAGTCAAGCTTTCAAGTTCTCCAGGACTCTCTTGTCAATCTGTCTGGTTCAAAAATAAAAGTGAGGAGCAGGGAGTAGAAGCATGGATGTCCCAAAATGAAGCAGTGTGCTCTCTCCGCGAGAGATGCTGTCGAACTCAGAGCGAAAATGAAGGTTGCAGAATCACTGGTGGGTCAGGGTGGCTCTCAAGAGCCTGGGAGGTTTTCCTCCGATTGTGGGAGATGGAGCCAAAAGAGAAGGACTTCAGAACCGTGTCCATCATCCTCCTTCTCAGCCAGCCGGAGTCAGAGTGAGACCGCACATGCAGAGGCCACATGAAATTAGGGGTGGGGTGGGGGACAGTATTTTTTGGCCTCTAAGGGCCGCAACCATCGTTGTCCAGAGGGAGGCGGGTAGGACCACTCATGCACACCAGGTCTTTTCTGCGTGTATAGTGGGGAGACTGGGATCTCAGGATGGGGGTGCGGTGGGGTCTCCTGGGATCATAGTAGAATCATCATAGAATCATTGTAAGGTTGGAAGGGGACCTTGAAGGTCTTCTTGTCCAACCCCCCTGGGGCCCAAGGCAGGAGACCTCCTACCATCCCAGACAGGTGGCTATCCAATCTTTTCTTGAAAACCTCCAGCCACGGGGCACCCACCACATCGGGAGGCAAAGCTGTTCCACCGCTTCATGCTTCTCACCGTCAGGAAATTCCTCCTTATTTCCAGGTTGGATCTCCCTCTGACGAGATTTCACCCATCTGTTCTTGTCCTACCCTCTGGCACAGTGGAGAATAGTATCATCTGTCTGTCTGTCTGTCTCTCTCTCTCTCACACACACACACACACTTTTCCTCCCACCAGCAGTATTTGGCGTCTGATGCATCCCATTAAGGGAGCTGATCTTTGTTTAGAAGCGCTTCCACAAGAGGCCCTCTGGTTTCACCCAAGAAAGGCGGAGGTGTGTGTGCAGCTGGAGAACCGAACTGGACGCCCCTCTTGCTTCACACCAACACTTCCCTGAAGGCTGTTTCCTTCGCTCTTGCAGGACCCAACGTTGCCTCCCCCTTCAAGCCCGATGGGGACTTCCCGGAGCTCAGCAGCAAACTGCTCCTCTATTATACGCCGCAGGTAAGGGCGAGAAAGAAGCTCTATCTCCTCCTTCACCTTCCCTCTTTCTGGCTGGCCTTCCCCGGAGGTGGCAGCGAGCCTCCTGAAAGCCTGCAGGCTGGAGACACGGAAGAGAACATTAAGTTTTTGATTTGTTACTTTTGCATTTCCGTGCATTTTTTATTCAACTTAAAAATATATATTTTTTTAAAAAATTAAAATAAAAAAAATGACTTGGAAACTTGCATGCCCAGAAGAACGCTGGCAGTTGCCGTTCAAACTTTCTGAACATCTTCGTTAGTGGTGTGACTTCAGAGTTGGTACCGAAGGGCTCTCTCTTCTCGTAGGGAATGTTGCTTCTAATGATAAATTAAACTGGTGGTATTAAGTTTAAAAAGGGGGTTGAGAAACAAAAATAACATTGGAGATATTTGGGGAACTTTCATTGACTATGTATTAATCCAAGGCCAGGTTTCCTTTCTTTGAAATAATCAACGCAGTTTTGGAAGGGGAATTGGGGGCATCATAAATGAAATAAATGCAGCATATCTTCAAAGACTCCCAGCAGGGAGAGAAGCACAGTGTTGTATGCTTGTATATGTATTAAGTTTTTCATTGGTTAGTTTTGTATTTTTGTGTATTTTAGATTCAATTAAAAATTTAACAGATGGATGGATGGATGGATGGATGGATGGATGGATGGATGGATGGATGGATGGATGGATGGATGGATGGATGGTTGGA